CTATAAATATCTGTTTCTTTTGTGTTTGAATTAATTTTGCCACCAAGTAGTTCGGGTGCAACATATGGTATAATTCCATAGATTTTATTTGATGATTTTTCATCAACTGGTCCACATAACCCTAAATCTGTTATATAACAACCACCTCCTTCCAATAATATATTACCACTGTGTAAATCACAATGGACTAAATCTTTCTGATGTATACAGTATAATGCATCACATAAACATTTAAAGATTGTAATTCTGTCTTTTAAATTTAAACAATTGTTTCGTAAATAATCTCTTAAATTCCCTTCTGGTTTATAATTTAAAACTATTGCATAATTTCCACTATCTGGAAATCTAGTTATACCATGACAATTAACAATTGTTGATGATTTAATTTTACAACAATTCATTGCCTGAAATAAATATAAAATCAATTAGTATTACATAATAGAGCATTGTTTATTATTTTTTTGTTTTAATGACAACTACCAACCTCATCAAAAAATGCTTTCCCTGGATTATTTGAATTATTTAAACTTTTTAATACTGTTTTCTGCCTTCCAAAATAACTAAACTCCTTTTTATCTTCATCATAATCAAATATATAACCTCTTATCCATGTAGCAGTATAAATTGAACTAAATCCACCTTCTGTCAACTTTGTTACTTTTTCAAATTGCTCAAAAGGTATCCATTCTAAAATATAGTTTGGCAGAGATGATTTGATTTGACTTTGTTGAATAAAATCATCAATTATCTTATTTCCAGATGTCCAAGTGGTGAAAAGACTCTGTAATCGTAAACTGATACAACCTTCACAGAATCTATCAGAGTATCTTGTCAATTTGCACTTGCTGCATTCTTTCGGTTCTCCCTCTTTATTTTTTACATTTTTAGATTCAAAGCTATAAATAAACCTTTGCCTAGAAAATTCTTTTTCTTTTTCAGAAAGTTCCTTGTTTTCTTTGACCAATGAAAAAAATAATCTTTTCTATTTTCTTTATCAGAATTAACATTAGCATTATTATGTATTTCAATATAAATTTTTAATACAAATTTTTTTCTTTCTAGTGGTGATGGTGATAATAATTTAACAAATGACATTATAAAAAATATGAAATATAAATTTGAATTGATGTTTTAATGAATAGAGTGGGGAAAACGAGAGGTTTTTTTAAAATAACAGTTACATTATTTCCTTTTTTCTTTAGAATAATGTGTAACAAACAATTTTCTCGCAACATTATTATTATTTGGTGATAATCTTTTAAAATTGAAAAATAAAATTTGCATTATATAAAGAACAACTTTATCAACAATAAAACAATAAAGGAATTTCGGCATTCTTTTGTTTTCTATTTTTCTCACTTTCATTGATTAGCTATTTGGTTTCAAACTAAGATACTAAAGTCATCTCAAGTGCATTTAATAAATTTCGAAAAAACATCAAGTTAGCACAACTCGTATGTATGTTAAAGTTGCTCTACATACCAACATTGACTTGCCTATGCGTGACACTAAAAAATGCGTTTTGATTTTTTTTCCGTGTTATAAAAAAAGAAAAATTAGTAATAGTTATTATGATTGTATTGTAACGGTTTAATTTCAACTAGGTTGAAATTATGAAAACATTCACGATTTTACGTTGGTTTCTTTGTTTACAAAAACAAAGCGTTGTTAATATTTAATATAACATTAGACATTAATGTTCAATATTTGAAACACGAGATCAAAAAAATAAAGTAAATGTTGATGTCATACTTGCGTGTTTACACCTCTAATTTTTTTAAAAAAATATCTTTATTAACACAAGATAAATAAAAACACAATTGTGGGGAGTAAGCGCGCAATTCACGTACAGACTGCAGATATATGTAGAATATAATTTTTTTCTATAAAATCTGATTTGTTAGGAATAATGCTGATAATTCAATTTGAAATAGGTTACTCTTCTACTTTTTGTTTTTTTTTCCTAAGTTATTCTACGGTTTTGTATAATATTTTTTGTCAGTTACGATTTTCCTATATACTTCTTGATAAAGTCCATAGGTAATCTTTTAGCATCAGAGTATTTTGAAAACATACGAGGCAATTTTTCTCCTTATTCATTCTTCAAAATCCTTCAATTATTCAACTGAAAAACAAGTAATGTTAGTTTGTATCGAAATTTGAATATATACTATATGATTCTATTTTTTCTAAAAAAAAATCTTTTGATTCATCACTATCTATTTGTGCATTATTTTGTCCAAGAGAGTTAAGAGCAGCAGTTTCATTTATTGAAACAATAGTAATAGGAATGGTTGTACTACTTACAATAACATCTTCCTCTTCAATTTGATCCAAAGAATCAAGAATTTCCTCATTAATTTCATCCTCCTGTTAATGCTGAACTGAAATTAGTCTATCAATTAAGTTATCAATATCATCTCTTTGATCGTTTACAATATTTTGTGTTAGTCTCCAACTTGCTCTTCATTATCTAAAGGAATAATACCAGCAATTATTAATAGTGATGGTTCCATAAAATTTATTGCTCTTCTAATATCAATTAAATAATTTAATACATGCCCTAAAAAACAATGATATTGCATGGTTGCAGGTGCGCGATTATGTTTAGAGGCAAGTGATGAATTTTTACATTTGTTGAATTATCCGTTAAAATATGTAATAATATTGATATTTTCTTATATGCAGTGCGCATTTTATCCATGCTTTACTGTTCCAATAAAGGAAATAGCTTTTCAGTACCATTTGTGCTACAATTCGATTTTAAGCCTGGAATGGAGGCTGTTGATAATCCATGAGTTGGTTTCATTTTCCAATAAAGATCTATCTCATTACGATTAAATTTCTACGATTTTTATGAATATCTTTCAATTCTTCTCTCGTTCCAGGAATCTGTTAGATAGGTACATTTTAGATTCCCCGTGTTTATTCTTTTTCTACTTGAATTTATCAAACCAAGCAGACAATGCTTCAAAGGTATTGTTGTCTAATAATTCTGCAAATTTTATTGAATAACGCTACCTGTAATCGTTACATTACATTCACGTGCTTTCTGGATCATAAAATTAAAGCATCTTCAACATTTAGTAACAGGAGAAGTATATGCTTTTTTAAAATGAGAATTTGGGTACATCTATTACACTCTTTCAATATATCACCAACTTGGTTTGTGCTAATTCAATATCCTTTGGTCGAGATTGGTTCGTTTCAACAAACATAACTCAACAGTAATATTTATACATTTTGTGGAAGAGACATTTATAATTTTGTAGAATTTAAAGAAATTAAAGAAACCATTAATTATGTAGTATTAGAAGATATTTATTTTTTATCAATTTTAAAAAAATCAATAAAGAAAATTTTGCCTTTATTTTATACATTTAGAAGAGACTTGAATCTTTAATTAAAACAAGATTAAGGTTACATTTTGGATAAAAAATAAATAATTTTATTTGAAGAATTATTAGTGCATGAAACCACAAGTTTTGATTTACGTGGTGGAGCAAAATCATTATTTAGAAATATGATTAATATTAATATTATTATTATTATTAGTAATTCGTTTTATTTTATTTTTTAGAATTTGAGAATTATTCGTTTGTTATCATTGATATGTCGCAATATTATAAATCACATGACTCAATCACTTGATATGTATATGTATATTTTGGGTGAAAAAGGAATTAAGTTTGACTCACATGCATATAAATGAGAAGCCAGTATAATAGAAGGATAAATTAAATAAACTTGGCTTTTTCACTTCGCCACAAGAATAATACGTTGGACAGTTTAAGTTTATCAAGTGATACAAAAGTTTTAAAAAAAGTAAAGATTGATATCAAATAATAATTACCATTATCATTATGAATTATTCCAATTTTTTTCGCTCGAGACCAATCATTTATTTGCCTCAATTCAACTAAGATCACATGACAGATAAGGAAGGTTATTATTTCATATAATAGTATATATTAGTATTTAGTATAATCAACAGATCAACCACATAATAACAATAAGCGATTCTCAAGAAATTATGATCTCAAATGGTATCGTCATCATAAACCAATTATAACAAAAAATAAAAGAAGGTATTTTAAATTTCCCGATAATATTAATTTAGCAGCCACCTTGTGTATTTTGAAATCCCAAAATCCCAAAACGAAGTTAGTTGTAATGTTTCTGGGTGGGCAAAATATACACATGCTCCAATGCCAGGATGTGTGCTTACCTTAAATAGAATACCTAACAAGCCCTTTGGGGAATGGTTTTCTCACAAAGCCCGGAAGCTAGCTTTTGATGTAGAAAGTTGATTTGTTAGTGATATTTATTATTTGAGCGAAATCAGTCAAGAAAGTAAATATTGGTGGTACGAGTGTGACGTTTAACAAACAAATTTATTCGAAAATTTTTTTAAAAAAAACAGTTTATTTTGTTGTTTTAAATAAAAAAAAAAAAATCGCACATGACAATATGCAATAGTAATATCAGCTTTGGGAAAAATCAGATTCATAATTATTATATCAAAAAAATAAAGTTTCCCATAAAATAAAAAAAGTTTTTTATATATATATGTCTAAATTTTCATAGAAACGTAAAATGCCGCGCAATATTTATATTTTTTTCCTTGAACCACCAACATAGCAATGCCCAAATTTACGGTTAATCATGCTACAAAGTAGTCACTGCAGAAATCATTTTCCATTTTGTGTTTATTTATATTTTGCATTCTTAAAATAAACCAATCAAAAATCTCGATTTTTTTATTTTATTTTTTATTTTTAGTTACTGTTACAAAATATAAAATATAAAAAAATTAAATTTTGTTTACTATTTTTTATTTTCTAAATTATATTCTTTCATTAAAAAAAATACCAATTAATTTAAATTCTTTCCATTATCATTCATTATAAACTACATTTATATTTATAATTACAATTATTATCATCATTTTAAACATCGCATTGTTAAAATATAATTTTACATAATATCAAGTAAATAAAATGACTCAAGTTAATCCAGCGATAACAATAGATTCAGACAATTTGTCTGATTGTGATTCTTCAGATGAAAGATCTCAAACAAGTAAAACAAGTGATGAAGACGCCTCTCAATTGTTAGAATTCCGTCCCACTCACTCACATCTTAAAGCCCCCGAACTAAAACGTTCGGCTTCCAATTCCTCCATAAGCTCTTACGCGTCATCTTCTCCACCCGAAACTCCTTCTCCCTTCTTAGAAGACAATCAGAAACTCGCAGCTATAAAATCTATTCTTGATGAAAATAGATTGGCTCTTGGCGAGTCCGGTTCCTTGGCACAAAACTGGTTTTCTTGCGGTAATATTCGTGCAGATGGTCGTTGGTTTAAAGATGATCAGGGCAGAACTTGTCTATTACGTGGTGTTAACTTATGTGGTAACTCAAAATTACCTACTAAACCGGATGGTTCAAGTCATTTATCCGAAGGATTTTTTGACCATCGAAATGTTTCATTTATTGGCAGACCTTTTCCACGTGAAGAGGTAGACCAACATTTTGCTAGATTAAGAACATGGGGTTTAACTTTTGTTAGGTTGTTGGTGACATGGGAATCTTTGGAACATTCTGGACCGTAAGTGTTCTAATAATCAAAAGGAAAAAAACTTTTTTTTTTTGATTAATTAATTATTTGAATAAAATCTAATTATAAATCATACACATATCTATATATTTGTATTTATGTTTTAGTGGCATATATGATGAAGAATTCATCGATTATTTAATTTTTGTTATAGAAAAAATGTCTCGGTATGGCATCAAATGTTTTATAGATCCACATCAAGATTGTGTAAGTTTATATAAAATAAAAACTTGAAATTTATAAATACAAAATTAAATGACTTAATTATATATATTCTTGAAAACTCAGTGGTCGCGTTTTTCTGGTGGATCTGGTGCTCCTGGTTGGACTTTTGAAGTTGCTGGACTTGACATGACAAAATTCAAATCAACGGGTGCTGCTTATGTTCACAACACAAATCACAAACCAGACGGCTCTTCCTTACCAATGGTCTGGCCAACTAATTATACTAAATTGGCCAGCAGCACTATGTTCACATTATTCTGGGGAGGTGATGTCTTTGCTCCAAATACTCTTTATGAAGGTGTAAATATAAAGGACTTCTTACAAGAAAAATTCGTTAATTGTTACAAGAATTTGGCAAGGTAAAAATATATGATAATTATAAGTATTGATTGATTGTAAATATATTGTTTCCAAATCAACGAAAAGGTTAACAAAAATGTACAAACAATTAATTAAACAATAATTCGATTGATTTAATTATTATTATAGGCGACTTCAACATTTAGAAGCGGTCGTAGGATTCGAATTGATTAACGAACCTCAGTAAGAGAAATAATAATAATAAATGATTCATAATTAAAATGATTTACAATTCTTTTAATGATTTAATTTCTAATTCTAAAAAAAACAAAATTCTCATAAAAAGTCAAGGATACATTGGTCTTGCTGATATGAACAAATACGATGGCACTACAACATTAGTATTTGGTGATTCTCCTTCTGCATTACAATCATTTGCATTAGGATATGGTATACCTCAAGAGATCGAGGTTTGGGTAAAGTCATGGCCATATCCCACAAAAAAAGATAGCACTCATATACTTAACAAGGAACGTGATTCTGCTTGGCTTAACGGTGAATGTATCTGGCGTCAACATGGCGTCTGGGATGTTGACAGTGCAACTGGTAATCCAAAAATCTTGAGAAAGGATTATTTCACTCATCATCCAAACACCGGTAAAAAATTAGATTATTATAAAGATTTCTATTTACCTTTTGTTAAAAAGTATTCGGAAGGTATTCAAAGTGTCAAAAAGGATTATTATGTATTCGTTGAGCCACTTCCTAATGAGGTATTTTGCATATATTTATGTATTAATATTAATTTTAATATGTTATTAAATACATGATAATTATTTGAATAGCCACCACCAACTTGGACAGAACACGATCATCATGAAAATATAATATATGCACCACATTGGTACGACTTAAAATCTCTATTTAATAAAACATTTAACGGTATGATAACTCATGATGTACAACGGCTTACTAAGGTATAATATTATCTTTATTATCAAAATAAAATCTTTTTCAAGTAAAATATTTTTTAATGATCGATCAAATCAATTCATTTATTCATTTAGGGAGCTCAACATATTGTTTCTGCCACTTATTTTGGAATTTCTGGAGCAAAAAAAAATTATACAGGTCAAGTACGTAACATTATGAAACATGGGTTACAACGTGTTGGTGAAAAACCTTGTATAATTGGTGAATGTGGAATACCAATGGATATCAATGAAAAGAAAGCTTTTGAAGATGGTGATTATACCCACCACAGTAATTTCTTGGATGCTGTTTTAGGTGCCATGGAAAGAAATCTTGTTAATTTCACGTATGTATCTAGTTGGCAAAAAAAATTTTTTTTTTGAATTATAAATTTATTTATTAATTGGCTATATAATAATATTATCAAGGTTGTGGAATTATAATCCATTAAATGATAATAAACATGGTGATCATTGGTATGGTGAGGATTTTTCTATTTTTTCACCACCATCCTCAAAAACTATTAAAAAAGAAACACAGAGCATCAACGTCACCACCACCTCCATCCCAGATAAAACTACCACCACCACCACCTCCATCCCAGATAAAACTACCACCACCACCACCTCCATCCCAGATAAAACTACCACTACCACCACCACCACCACCACTACCACCGCTTCTATTACTACCACCACCACCAAAACAACCAAATCATCAAATAATGCAAAGATAAGCAATAAGGATAATAAGAAAAATAATAACAATAGCAATAACAATAAATTGGCAATTAAAACTACTTTACATGATAACAATAATAATGATGAAAATAGTAATGGCGGTAGTGATGTTAATAATATTAGCAGCAATAATAATGCCACAAGTCCTACAAGTCCTACAAGCCCTATTTCACCATTTGACTTAACTCAAGTTCATTTCTGGGAACAAGAAGATTCAAGCTATGATCATTATCATCATCAGGGTGGAAGAGTTTTAGATGCTGTTCTGGTAATCAATTATTCATTAATTATAGTCATCCTTTATAATTGATTAATTATCACTAATTACTAATTAAATCGCTTTATTAAAGCGCCCATATGCAGCAAAAACGCCAGGTGAACCAACACTAATGACCTTCAATCTGAAAACATTAGAGTTCATCTTCAAATTCAAAAACGATCCGACCATAAAAAAATATGCCACCGATAATGAATCGTTACCATTACCAGAAACCGAATTCTACATACCGAACTATCACTACAAAAATTTAATACTTGATATTCGTGTATCAGATGGTGATTGGCGATATGTTAAATCTAGCCAGACGTTATACTGGAGAGTTAAAGATTGGACTACGGAAGGAATCACTCATTCGTTGAGAATAAGAGTTGTTGATAAAGGTAATGTAGTAAATGAAAAAGAAGATACATTATCATCGTCTACTACTGTTACTTTCGGTAGCGCTGTTGCTGTTACCGTAGATTCTTCTAATTTTGTAAAAACAAGGACATTAATAATATTCGTAATATTCTTACCCTTAATTTTATATTTTAATATTTCACAGAAAATTCAATATATCAATTGATGGATTTTTTTTATAGATAAGAGTTTTATTATTAACATCACTAAAACTACTAACCAATTAATTGTATTATTTTATATTATTGTTTGGCTTTCCAATTTGGTTGTTTAAAAAAATATACAAAAGCCTATTATCTTTATTTAAATAAATTAGACTTTTTTTTTTGTAATAGGTTTTTTTCAAAAAAAAAAAAAAAGGATAAAAAAATAAAAAAATTTTATTAAAATTTGAAAAATCTTAAACTACAAAAGATATATTTTTTAGCATTATTATTCTTAATATTAATTATATTGTTGCAATTTATAGAACCCAAGAAACATGTTTGTTATTATTGTTGTGACTTTTATTTTTATAAAACGACATAATATTACTGTTGTTCGATAATTTATCAAGATTTTTTAAAAAGCATTTGTTATAAAATTATTAAATAAAAGACAACCATCGCTTCTAGGGAATGACCTAATGCTAACAAATTGTGAAGGTCGTCGTCACATCACCTCCATTGTTACACGTAAACATAAATATCTCTTACATTTCTTTGCAACTTTCACGTCCATATTCCACAACATTCATTCCATTATTATTACTGGAAACTTTGCGTAAAGAGATTTATACGTCTTGAGTAAATCTATAGATATAAAAATGAGTGAGACATATTGCATAACAAGGGATTAAAAAAATAGGCATAGAATCGTTTAATATGCCTGGCTTGTTTTACATGTTACGAAACTAAATTGAGGGGACAATGTCAAAAATCCTCAACCCTTTGGTGTTATCATTATTCTTTACAGATATTTTGAGATTCTATATAACAAAAGAAGGTAGTTAGTTCTGCCAGCTTTTTACTCCATCTTCTGAAAGAACAAAGTTTCCGACAAAAAGCTCCAACTTCATTATATAATTCCAAATGCGATTTAGGCATTGTTGTATCTTCTATATCCTTGATATGTTCACTAACATTATTAATATTAATATTATCGCATTTGGACACCAGCGCATTGTATATCAAAGTAACCAATTGGTATTTTCATTTCATTATGAACTTCTCAAGTATATTGTGAAGACGAAAATTGATGAATTTGTAAAGTCGTTGTGGAATATTTCTGAATACATGGTTACGACAACTAGTAAGATATTTATTGGAAAGTCTTTAATTGACATAATCACTATAGGTAACATTTTTAATCGTTCTTGAAATCTTTCTCTACATGAAACAACTTGAAATAAATTTCGAATAAGTTAGGTCTGGCACCTTTCTATCCGATTTGTCCAATACATACATAAAGTTCTAAAGGTTTTGCTCCCTCAAAGGTAATAGTGTTAATGCATCTTCTAAGATTGGTTTGGTTGTATTATCAAGAAACATGCTATTAAGTGAGCGCACTTTACAGGTCTTGCATGAGGTTAGAATTTGAAGTTTTTTTAGCTCAAATAACTTTTGAAATGGGCAGTTATACGTTGATGTTTAAAAGAGATGGTGGTGGGTTTTCGGAAGGCGTTAGTTACCTCGCGCTTTTGACTTGACATTTTATCTTATTCGTAAATATGTAAAAAAAATTCTAAAAAAACTAAAACAGTATTTTATAAAAGGTAATTAATTAATAATTAGACATCTTATTATTATAAATTAAATACCATAAAGAATTGAATAAAAAAACAAGTAAAAAAAAATTCATTTTTGACTATAAGAGGTGGAGTTCTTAATTTAACAGGATTTGAATATGAATATGTTGTATGTATGGAAATTGAAATTGAAATCTATAATTAAAATTGAATTTCTGATTGGCTAATTTGAATCACATAAATTTCATTTTCACGCACAACAAATACAACAATTAAATTTCTATGTATACAAAATGGATGGATTTAAATTTTCAAAATATTGTCTCATTTGTGGCACAACAAGTGTATCCGAGAATCGATGTAAATAATATTTCCCAATTATTTGTTTTAATTATTATTTTATTACGTTATTATAATTTAATTGGAAGAATTTTACATACATAAATAAACGTATAAATAACCATATAAGGTGAAATCTTAATACGACATTTGTGCTTATTTTGTGACTTTGATATAATATGGTTCAATAGATTGGTCGAGACTTTCTTTCTAATAATAAACAAACAAACAACATTGATATTAATAGTGATTTTTAATCGTGAAGTTTTTTTTTTACAAGTATTGACGCAGGTTCTTTCTTTATTTATTTGTAATATTTAAATAATGTCATACATTCAGACCCTGAATCCTCAAACATTATTGGGTTTATTTAACTTTTAATTATTTTTCCTTCTTATATAAACACGGTTGTTAATATTAATTTTATCCTCACTTTTTTTTTTCTAAAAATAAAATAAAAATGTGTGATATAGTTGAATCAGCAACATACTCAAACTCTTTACCTTTACCTTCTTCCCAAAATCCGTCATATTCATCGCTAATATTAAAAAAAAAGAATGTCACTTTAATATCATTACCAGAAGATATTTTATACATGGTAATTCAAAACTTGGATTTTTTATCAATTTTAACGTTGAAGAGAACATGTCGCACGCTGTATAGTTTATTCCCTGATTCAGTCTTGTTCATTAGACTAACGTTCACGGCACGTCTAACACAAAATATATTCAATCATCTATTCAACCATATTATCAATACAAAAAAAACAAGTCATATAAGAGAAATTGTTTTCGATTGTTCGAAAATCGATGTTGTAGCCATAATCAATGTTTTAGACTATTGCGAAAATCTCGAGAAATTGTATATTCTTGGATGTAAGGAAGTCTTATTATTACCGATAACTAATATTATGGTAAAATGGAAAAAACAAGACGAAGAAGAAGAATTAGGGAAAGAAGAAAAAGAAGAAATAAATATCAACTCAAGAAAAAGAAATAAAAGAAAACTGGAAAATTTGAAAAAGATTGTTTTAAGTAGATGTATAGGCGGCAACAGACATTCTTTAATAATAAAAAAAATTATCAACGATTTAAATTATCTATATAATTCAAATGAGAATCTCAATACTACATTAGTTTCGTCATCGTCAAGGACAATTTCGTATGAGGACGATTCAACAACTACAAAATTAGTTGTACCAAAAAATTCATTAAATCTAAATCCAGCCCAACAAATCCAACAAGAACATCAGCAATCACAGCGACAGCAACAACGTACTCAATTACTCAATCTAACAAAACTATTCACATCACAATACTCTTCTACAATAGATGGAATTTTTCAAGTCACTAATTGTCCCGATTCAAACTGTGAGACATGTCAAATTTGTTGTGCAAATTGTAAAATAAATTACAAATATTGGGATGAAGTTTGGATAAAGTGTGGATGGTGTAGGAAAAAACATTTTTGTGGTGACTGTGTTACGAAATTGCCTAGGAAAAAATCTTTTAGAAATATGTCTTTTCAGTTCATTAGAATTAAACTGTGTCAGGTATTTGAATTACCTTGTTCTATCTAGATGATTATTATAAATAGAGGAGCGGAGTTAAAGTGAAAAAAAACAAGTGTTGTATAGGAATACTTTATATCAAGAAAATTTTAATATTTTCATGTGACTTCTAACTGTATTTAGCCCCAATTTTTGTTAATACTTTCTTATTAAATAAATTAATAAATATTAAATCTTTAGTTTTATATTAATTAATTGACTGGAATAATAATATTTTCTATTAAAAAATAAATAGGATGTAGAAGGTAAGTAGTTGTCAAAAAAATTACGTCATACTAATAATAAAGTTGATAAACAAGATGGAGAGCAGAAAGAAAAAGGTTTTGGTATTATACAGCGTGCAACAAAAATTATTGTTGCCACAAAACCCTTATAATAATATACTTGCCGTCCATATGTATGACTTTGATATCAGTAGAAATGTCACATGTCTCATATTAACCAATCAGATTTTGTCACACAATAAATAGCGGAATCCTGGACTGGTTTTTTAATTATATGACAAAACATCCCACTTTAATTGTGAATCTTGTTTCAGTGATGGAATAAATCCATATTTACATTATGGGACTAGGAATGTAGAGTAAAAACGAGATACAACTAAATATGCTTGAAATCTCCTTCAGTGAAAAGAAATTAACCAATAAAATAAATAATTGATCTTTCAATAATATAACATGATAATAAACACAAAATAAATAATTGATCTTTCAGTAATATAATAGCTTAACAATTTTACATAAAAATAGTCCTTGACTGTAATCAATTAATGATTGATTGATTGATTCGTAACCTTTTCTGATGATTAATGGTTTGGCCAACCTTTAATTATTAGTTAGTGATTCCTTTTAGTTTTACTATATTGCTTGTAGGAGAGCCTTAAGTAGTATAGTTTCATATGATGATTTAGTTTAGTTTGAACATTATATTGGCTGTGTGCCAGATTTGGTGACTCTGTAATAGAGTAGAGTTTCTATTCGTAATACAAATTCTTGTTCAAATTATTCGAATTATTAATATCCGCTTTCAAATTATTATCGTTCGTTTATTCGTTTACTTGATTTAATCGAATTATTCGTTTATTCATTATATCTGTTTATTCGTTTTATTCAAATTATTTTGAACTATTGAAGTATTCATTTACCAGAATTATTCGTTTATTCATTTTATTCAAATCATTCATTTATTCATTTTATTCAAATTGTTTATTTATTTTATTAGAATTATCGAATTATCGAATTATTCGCTAATCATTTTATTCGAATAAACTTTCAATGTAATTTGAATATTCAAATTCATAACGAGTAAAAGCAAATAATTCGAATAAACCTTGTTCGAATAGAAACCCTAATCAAGTTAATCAAGTTATGTATAGTGATTTTAGTTTAATTTGCCAGATTTGGTGACACCATAATAAATAACTCAAATCGTACTCTTCCAATATTATATGCATAATAATTAGGGCATTACAGTTTTATGTTCTATGACTTTTATGACTTTAGAGTGTCATGCCTAATTTATCAGGTACATAAATCATAAGATTATATTATTTTGTGAAACATATTTCGGCAGAAAACAAATATATTAAAAAAACTACAAATAAGATAAAAATCACTTTGGATGAAAATAAACATCATGACAATACTTCTACTGACAAAAATGATGACGAATATTCTGATGAAAGGGATAAAGAGTATGGGAAATGTCCAACCTGCAATAGAGGTAATACTTATTATTCATGGTGTCAATCATGAATCCAAAACTATTAACTGAAGGATGGATTAGTGGCAACGAAACATTAGATCAATTGATCAAAAGTACACAACTTAAAACAACAAGATATGATAATGATTATTATCTTCAATGGATTCCTTATAATTATTTAACAAATATCGAAAAGATAGGAGAAGGTGGTGGGTTTGCAACTACACACAAAGCTAATTGGTTAAATGGTTGTATAAATTATATTAATAAAAGAACTAGCAAATATTTGCCAGTGGCATTAAAAAAACTACATAATTCACAGAATATTTCTGATGAATTTCTTAATGAGGTAAATTATTTTATTTTTCTATTTATTTTCAGAATTTTAATATTATTGATTATTGTTGTAATTAAATATTTATTTGTTTTTTAGTTCAGGAATTATAGTAACGGATTAACACAAGATCTAATTACAAAAGAATATATATTTGTAATGGATTATATAGAAGATGGAAGTCTTCAAAATTATTTAACTAAGATTTTAAAAATTTAAAATGGTTACATAAATTAATATTCTTCATTATATTTAAGGTTTTAAAGAATATTCATGAAAAAGAAATTATTCATCAAAAATGATACATGTGGAGTACTACCATATATTGCACCAGTAGTTTTAAAAGAGAAACCATATACAATGGCATCAGATGTGTACAGTTTTGGAGTTCTGATGTCTGTAGTATCAACTGGCCAGCAACCATTTAATAATTTGGCACATAACATTGACCTTGCAATGAAAATATGTAGAGGTGCAAGACCAGGATTCTCAAAAAATGCACCAAAATTCTATATTGAACTAGCATTCAAATGCATGGATGCTAATCGAGATGAACATCTAACTGCTGAAGAAATTAGTGAGACTACTGGAATTTGGTATAAATTCGAAGATGAATCAATTGGAAAAGTGTTTGAGAAAATGGATGAAATAAAATTCAATCCTTCAACAATTACTCCAGTATTCATCCAAATGCAGTTTATACTAGCAGATTATTAAAATTTACAAACCTTCCACAACCTGTGAATCCAATAAAGTAACAATTATTGGTAATAATAATGGTAATTATCATCAATTATTAATTTAAAATTTAGTATCAATATTGACATTAACATTATTATGTTATAAATTATTATGTTTGTAGTTTCCCATCTAATGGATATAAATATTTAGATTAATTTATTATTTATATTAATAATGATATTATAAAGGTAATAACTTTTTCACTATTATCTTTGGAATTTTTTCCCACTTGAAAATAATGATTTTAGACAAAAAAAAAAATTTAAATGTAATTTTAATAATCACAACATACATAATTGCAGTATCACTTATTTCTTCAAAACTATTATATTGTTATTTATTTGGGTAATAAAGGCAACCACCATGGTTTAAAAACTTTACATGCGCAGGCATTTTCACATTATCCCCCAGATAGGATTTTGGTGCACAATACAACGGTGACAAACAATTAAGCAAATTGTGATTTTTTTTTTTATTTATTATTTTTACTATTTTATACAAAAAAGAAAAAAAAGAAAGTCATTCTGTGTAGGAGCTTTCTCTAGATTTCCCCTCATGAGAATTCATCGATCTCTCGATGTCATTTGAGTTATCCAAACTTTCGTCTTCTTCTTCGCGACCTTTTCCCTTGTCGTTGACAACTACGCTCACCACATCTGCAAATCCTAGTTGTCATCGAGGTATTTCTTGAAACCATCTCTTCCTGCCCGTTGCAATTCGTGGCCGTGCTCCTTTTCTGCGCTTGCGCTCGACTCTTCGAAGTCCAAGCGCTTTGATTTCAGCTTTTTGCGCCAGGATCCTTTGTCTTCTTCATCGGTGGTGCCCCAGACGAACAGGTATGTCCATTCAATATCAGTTGCAATAATTTGCATGAGCTTCCTGCCAATGAATATTTCTCCCGCTATGGAAAAAATAACTTGGCTGTTTGTGGCGATGCTGCTATGACAGCTGTTATAGGGGCTGTAAAAGCATGGAACGTCCATCACTACATACAAGCGTTATAAGTTTTACGGATTAATGTGAAATGATTTTTGCCATCATGGATTTTCGAAAGCGTAGAACATGGACCAGTTATCGTACCGAACAAAGGGTTGATTGGCAAATCATCTATGCTCGGCATATCACCCAGCATATTCAGATCAAGGAGTATTGTCTTGATCAGCTTAACCTGAACGAAAGACAAAGGCGACATTATTTTTTTAATAAACAAAAGAGCAAAAGAGAAAATAATAAACCAAATGACGCTCGCTACACTCACATATAACTGGGACTTGAAAACATATTTCCCAACGATGAATTCTAGAAGACTTCCTTAGCTTGTGCTAAATGCCTTGTATTGGAAATCCAAGTACTCCTCATCGTCTTTGCCACCCACTGAGGGCATTAATTCCGCTGACGGATTTGACAAACACAACGGCAACATATTTTTTTAAGATGTTTCGAAAAAGTGTAATGGCAAATGTTCAATTGTTTTCTGATATTAGTCGTGTAACATGTCCTGCAGATCAACAGTGTTTATTTTCCGAAAAATTTCCGGTGATCTACACAATTTTTTATTAATAAAATTTCTCGTTTGACACTCTTGTTATGTAGCAATTTCTACCAAATTTGATACATAACTTCTTTGTCATATGTATCTGCTTTAAAAAAAATTTTGAAGCAAGTTGCTAATAAAACAGAAAATAATTTCAGCCTTTAAAGTCAGATTTTGACTTTATATTCATATATGTAGAAATTTGTTAGTGCGTGCAAAGGTAAATAAATATTTACAGAATCATGTTCAAATTGCTTCCTAAACTATGTCTTTATACTACTATCATTTATTTTAAACAAATAAAGTATGGTTTATGCTAATATATTAAATTTTAATTATGGAGGCCAAACATTTTATAGTAAAACTTTTATTATGGTGTGAAAAATGATCGATTTTTATGAGCAATAATAATATTGGACGTAAGGAGTCGATTAGAGTTGATATTTGATTAATAGAATTTATTAAAACTTGTAAATATGAGTTTATTTAATAGAAATGTCAAAAACGAACAACTAATCTCAATTCATGAAACCCCTGGAAGAAAGTATTGGATCAATACTATATACATTCAAATCTTGTTCCAATGAATCTATGAGGAGGACATGGGAAAATTGCATCTAAAATTCATTATAAATTACAGTAACGCGATTTAATTATTGCAACAAATCTAATTTAATTATAATTCACGATGACGCG